CTCTCTTTTTAACATAATTAAGAGTATACAAATATTGTATTCTCGTAATATTATTAGTATAAATATAAATAATATTAAAAACAAAATTATGTAGAGAGAGAAAGGCTATGAGCCCTCTTTTAAGAAAAACAATATAATGTAAATAAAATAATTAAAAACAAAGATATAGACGATATTTCGATCCTATTTGGGTCATTTTCAATATTAAATAAAATAAAGCATTTTTAAATATAAATTATAAACGACTTAAATAAATTAAAAACGAATTATAAACTGCATAACAATAATGTAAAAAATATCAACTGAGAGACATAAAATCGCAAAATCGCATCATGTGAATGTCCGGATGATATGTCTGAGATATTCCTTTGTGCATCTTACACGTTATAAGTTATAAGTACAGTTCAAATTTTAACACATGAAAATATGAATGTTAATGCCCGTTACGGATGTATCTTGATAAAAAAACCAATATAGAAATCCTCAATGTTCTTATGCATATCTCAAGAGTTATGGCAGGTTTAATTTTTAACGAGAATATGAATGTGTAAAATTATTGGCTCGTTGTAGATATATTATGATTACAAAAAGTCAAAGACTATAAAAACAGTAATAACACAATATATGAATATAAAAATGTAAAATTATAGAAATAATGGATATAAATTCGTTTTGAATTCAACTTTTTTTGAGGAATAATTTTTACAAGTAAATTTTCAATATTCCTATGGGATCACCTCTATTTCCTATTATAGCCGAAATAGTTTTACAAGATTTGAAGGCTTTAGCCGAAACGAAGAAAGACCGGTTCGACTTTTATTTTATTTTCGATACATGGATGATATTGTCTTAGCAGTTCCTTCTGCTACTATTAAGGATATTCAGAATATTTTCGTTACATGAAAGATTACTATTGAAATCGATATTTTTGGCAGATTGAATTTTCTTGATATCCACTATCATTATTGATAACAATAAAATTATCTTTGATACAATTTTAAAAATTCATAACACACAAAACAGATAGTTAATAGATATATGTGTGCAGAACGCTATCATATTTCATAA